GGTTGGGGTTCTGGTGCTATCGGATGAGTTAGGGTGCCCGGAGCAGCCACAGGAGGCTGGGGGGTCACTGTGGGGTGGGGTGCTGCAGCTGTGGGATACATGGATGGGGGGTCCTAGATGATTGGGGGGATCGCAGGTGATAGTGGGGGGCTCTGGGGAGGTGGGTTGGGGTTCTGGTGCTATGGGGTGAGTTGGGGTGCCCAGAGCAGCAGGAGGAAGCTGGGGGGTCACTGTAGGGTGGGGTGGGGTGCTGTAGCTGTGGGATGGATGGGTGGGGGGATCCCAGCTGATGCTGGGGGTCCCGGCAGTGGTGCTGGATGACTCCAAGCGGGTAGCCAAGAGGAAGCTGATCGAGGAGAACCGGGAGCGGCGGCGGAAGGAGGAGATGATCAAATCCCTGCAGCACCGCCCCAACCCCAGCGCCGAGGAGTGGGAGCTGATCCACGTTGTGACAGAAGCCCACCGCAGCACCAACGCCCAGGGCAGCCACTGGAAGCAGAAACGGAAATTCCTGGTGAGGGGATGCAGTGGGGGGGCTCTGTCACCATCTCAGCCCCCCGCCCTGCCCCCTGCCCCAGCTGGGATCTGCTGGGCACTGGCACGCTCAGCACACACACGGTGGCAGCGCCAGGGTTTGGGATGTCACCGTGCCCTTGGGCAGTCGAGGGGGGTTGGGACATCGCTCAGTGTCCTTGAGCTGGTCACCCCCAAAGGGTTCAGGGGTGAGCAGTGACCGAAGGGGACAGCTGTGCCCGCGGGTGGCCCTGGCCCCGGCCCTGCCGCTGGCCCTGTCACTGTCCCTGTCATGCAGCTCCCTCTCCTGGCTGCTGCACCGGCCCTGCCACGACTGCTCCCGGTGACATGGGGGCCCCAGAGGGGGGGCAGGGTCACACACAGCCCCCTGGGGGTCCCAGGGAGGGGGAACAGGGTCACACTGTACCCCCAACACCACTGCCCACTGTGGGGGTCCCAGAGGGGGGACATGGTCACACCACGCCCCCAGTGCCACCATGGGTGTCCCAGGGTGACATGGTCACCCCACACCCCCAATGCCCCCATGCTCTGGGGGTCCCAGGGGTGACACGGTCACACCACACCCCCCAATGCCCCCATGCTCTGGGGGTCCCAGGGGTGACACGGTCACACCACACCCCCCAATGCCCCCATGCTCTGGGGGTCCCAGGGGTGACACGGTCACACCACGCCCCCAGTGCCACCATGGGAGTGTCCCAGGGCAGGACATGGTCATACCACGCCCCCAATGCCACCATGGGTGTCCCAGGCGTGACATGGTCACCCCACACCTCCAGTGCCACCAGTGCTGTGGGGGTCCCAGGGGTGACACGGTCATACCACACCCCCCAATGCCCCCATGCTCTGGGGGTCCCAGGGGTGACACGGTCACACCACACCCCCCAATGCCCCCATGCTCTGGGGGTCCCAGGGGTGACACGGTCACACCACACCCCCCAATGCCCCCATGCTCTGGGGGTCCCAGGGGTGACACGGTCACACCACACCCCCCAATGCCACCATGGTGGTCCCAGGGGACACGTGGTGACATGACACCTCCCCAACACCACCCTGTCCCCCACAGCCTGAGGACATCGGCCAGTCCCCTATGGCCTCCATGCCCGACGGGGACAAAGTCGACCTGGAGGCATTCAGTGAGTTTACAAAAATCATCACCCCGGCCATCACCCGCGTGGTCGACTTTGCCAAAAAACTGCCCATGTTTTCAGAGGTAACGGCGGGCTGGGGACTTGGGGAGGTCTGGGGTGGTCAACCCCAGCTCTGAATCACACCAAACCTCCCCAAAACTGCCCCCAGCTGCCTTGTGAGGACCAGATCATCCTGCTGAAGGGGTGCTGCATGGAGATCATGTCGCTGCGGGCGGCCGTGCGCTACGACCCCGAGAGCGAGACGCTGACGCTGAGCGGGGAGATGGCAGTGAAACGTGAGCAGCTCAAGAACGGCGGCCTGGGCGTCGTCTCCGATGCCATCTTCGACCTGGGCAAGTCCCTCTCTGCCTTCAACCTGGATGACACCGAGGTGGCCCTGCTCCAGGCTGTGCTGCTCATGTCCTCAGGTAATGGGTGGTGATGGGCGGAATGGGGTGGGCACCACGGTGCCCAGGGAGTCAGAGGGTGTGTTGGGTGGGCATCCCAATGATCAGAGTTCTCGCTGTGCTGGGGAGGTGTTGGGTGGGCACCCTGATGCCAGAGATCCCCTGTAACTTCGGGGGGAATTGGATGGGCACCCCCATGCCCAGAGGGTGTCCGTGGGGATTGTTGTGTTGGCACCCTCTTGCCCACAATCCCCAGCATTTGGAGGTGCATTGGGTGGGCACCCCAATGCCCAAAGTCCTCACTGTCCTGGGGGTGTGGTGGGTGGGCACCCCAATGCCAGAACCTCCAGCATTTGGGGGTGCATTAGGTGGGCACCCACCCTGATGCCCAGAGTCCTCACTGTCCTGGGGGTGTGGTGGGTGGGCGCCCTGATGCCAGAGCCCCCCAACATCTTCATTGGGTGGAAATCATGCCACCCCTGGATTTTGGGTGGATTTGGGGTGGGCAATCCCAATTCTCAGATCTTCAGGCCGCTGTGCCAGGCTGGGAGGGGTCCCAGGAGCATGAGGTGGGCACCCCAGTCCCTGGTACCCAGGAGCACAGGCTGAGCCTCTTGGTCCCCTGGGGACCCCTGCCAGGCTGATGTGGGTCTGTGGGATGGGCACCCCAACAGCCAGGGGGTGCGTGGGACACTCAGCCCTGTGGGAGGGAGAATCCCTGCAGTGCTGGACGGGGAGAGGGGCTCCTCCATGGGCAGAGAATGCCAGGACAACAAGGAGAGGTTTAAACTAATAAGGAGAGATTGTGATGGGGTATTGGGAAAAAAATTCCTGTCTGTGAGGGTGGTGAGGCCCCGGCACAGGGAAGCATCCAAAGCCAGGCTGGATGGGGCTTGGAACACCCTGGGACAGTGGAAGGTGTCCCTACATGGCAGGGGTGGGACTGGATGAGCTTTAACATCCCTTCCTGCACAAACCATTGGTGATTCCACGATGATGCCCTGACCGTTCCCTGGTTCCCGCAGACCGGACGGGGCTGATCTGCGTGGAGAAGATCGAGAAGTGCCAGGAGACCTACCTGCTGGCCTTTGAGCACTACATCAACTACCGCAAACACAACATTCCCCACTTCTGGCCCAAGCTGCTGATGAAGGTGACGGATCTGCGGATGATCGGCGCCTGCCACGCCAGCCGCTTCCTGCACATGAAGGTGGAGTGTCCCACCGAGCTCTTCCCCCCCCTCTTCCTCGAGGTCTTCGAGGACCAGGAGGTGTAGGGCCGACACCCCCCCGCCCTGTGCCCCCAAAACCCCGCTCTGGCCACCCCCCAAATCTTTCTCATCCCCCTGGAAGGACAAGGGGATGCTGTGCCCAGGGTGGGGGTCCTGCTGTGCCCCCCAACAGCCACCCCCCCCGCCCCAGGACTTGGCGAATTTTGTTTGTTTGCACAGGGAAGGGCCCCGACGGTCGAGCGTTCCCTTTATTGTCCTTCTCTTCGTAGATTATTATTTTTTAAGCATTTATTTCCCTCCCTGAGAGGCTAAAATATTAAACTAACTGCACTTTGGAAGGAGGAGGAGGAGGAGGAAGAGGAGGAAGAGCAGGGAGGAGAGGAGGGGGCTCTGGGCTGCACAGGGAGAGGCTGCCCCAGCTGGGGGGACGTGGCCATATGCACTTTTGGCCGGGCAGCAATTTGGGGGGCTGGGGTGGGGGCCAGGACCCTCCCCCATAGCAGGGCAGGGGCTGGGACCCCCATCCCCCATAGTGGGGTGAGGGCCAGGACCCCCCCATAGCAAGGTGGGGGCCAGGACCCCCCCACACACAGCAGGGTGGGGGCACAGGGGGGGCACAGCGGTGACAGGGGGACCCCAGCCCATCGGGGTGCAGGGCTGGTGGACCCCCCCCAGCCCACTGGGTCTGCCCCGGCTGGGGTGACCCCCCTGTGTCCCCCCCCCTTATCCCCAAATTTGGGGCCAGACTTGGGGTTTTGGGGGTTCTCTTGTCTTTTTTGGGCTGAGAGGAGACGATTTTGTGCCAAGCGCCGCGGATGGTGGGCGCTGCAGGACACTGGGGGGGGCCACTCCCCCCCCTAAACCCCCCCAAACTTTTCCGTTGTCCTTTTTTTTTTTTGTTGTTGTTTCTCCCCTTGTCCTCGTGGGTTTTGTCGTGTCCGTCAGGAGTTGCAAAGGCCCCGGAGGCGCCGGCTGGGGGGGCGGTGGGTGCCCCCCCGGGACCCCCCACTGCACTACTGCCCCGGCCCCCCGGCAGCAGCACTTTGGGGGGGCTGCACCCCCCAACTGCCCCCCCGATGCTCCCGGGGGGAGCGGGCTGAGGCGGGGGCCGGCAGGGGGAATCCCACAGGGGGCTTGAAGGGGTCGGGGGGCACAGCTGCGAGGGGGCACCCGGGAATGGTTTTATCACCTTTTTACTCTTCCCCCCCCCCCCCAAATTTAGGTTTGTGAATTTTTTCTTCCCTCAGGCGGAGGCCGAGGGGGGGTGCGGGCCGGGGGGGGGGCCGGCAAGGCAGGCCGGGCCCACCTAAGCTAATATANTCCCCCCCCCCAAGCACATACCTCATGGCTCCCGGAGCTGCCCCTGCCCGCGGGCGTCGAGCCCGGCCAGCAGCTGGCCCAGCACAGCCCCGGCACGGCTCGGCTCGGCTCGGCGCGCCCCACGCGGGGTCCCCCCACTATGCAGGGTGCCGGGGGGAGGGCCGCGGCCGGCGTCGCTGAATGTAGGGGCGCGGGCCGGGGGGGCCGTGGAGCCCCCGTGACAATCACAAGTCTGTGACGTGCGATTTTAAACCCTTTTGTGTTTTGGTCAGGATTTTAAAGAAAGATATTTTTATGGTAATTGTTGCTGGTCTATTTTACTATATATTTATGTAATAAATATATGATGAAAAAAAAACCAACCA